ACAAAGTTTCTGTAGCGTCCAATCTAGTAAGTATCGCATTAACTAAAATGATTCCTTTACCTTCATCTTCAAGTTTAATAGTTTTCTTGTATATTGAAAAGATATACATTGTATCATACTGCCTTGTCACAACCGATTCCTGTGTTTCAGCAACTCCGGACTCCGGATCCACTTATCAAACATACAACAAATGTCCTTAAATTTTGGTCTTTTAATGCGATCTTTGTGCCAGCAAGATAACATAAGATCGTGCACAACTTTAGGGCAGCTCTGCAAGAGATATTCAATCGTAAGCAGCTGCTTTTTAAGTATTCACTTGAGTAAAAAACAGCAATAGTTGCGTTAGTGAACTCAAAGACATTAAACAGAATGTCTTTGGTTATTTAAGATCTGGGGCCAATGTGAGTTTAGGTAAGGTGGGAGGGGCTAAGAAGAGAGGGAGTCTGGGAAGCAAGGAGAGAGTAAAGCGTTTCAAAGTTTACTTCGAAATATCTGTGTATTAGTATACCTTTAAAGTGCTGAAAATCAATAAGAACCTCCCCCCCCCCCCATATATTTTGGAGTACGAAAAAAGCAAATTTCTGCGAGAAGGCTCTTAAATCCCTAGGTTCTTACACGCGGGTTTTTATTCTACCGTGATCAAACAAGCTTGAGAGAATCAAATACTGCCGTAAGGTTAGGATACAGAAGACAGTAAACAGGCAAACGAGCTGTATCCAAAGGTAGTGTTGCATTCCCAAATATACCATTACCAGAATGGGAGAACTACTTAATATCTGTGATTTGGATAACAAATGAAAGTTCATTGCACATGATGAGAACATATGAAGAAAAAACAAAATTATTTGTACGGATGCATGTATTTTCAGCAATCTAGGGTATGGATGCATTTACAGCAAGTTAATTTATTTTTCCAATTAAAATATGTAGCCAAAGAAAGCAAGTTACATCAATTATTGCCAACAGCTTTGTAACTGTTTTCTAGCCCTTCTGCGAAAGAAGAAGAAAAGTGTCTGTAGAATAGTAGGCCATCAGCAGGCCATCAGTAGGCCATCAACAGGCCATCAACAGGCCATCAGTAGGCCATCAGTAGGCCATCAGCAGGCCATCAGTAGGCCATCAGTAGGCCATCAGTAGGCCATCAGCAGGCCATCAGTAGGCCATCAGTAGGCCATCAGAAGGCCATCAGTAGGCCATCAGTAGGCCATCAGTAGGCCATCAGTAGGCCATCAGTAGGCCATCAGTAGGCCATCAGTAGGCCATCAGTAGGCCATCAGTAGGCCATCAGTAGGCCATCAGTAGGCCATCAGAAGGCCATCAGTAGGCTATCAGAAGGCCATCAGTGGGCCATGAGTAGGCCATCAGTAGGCCATCAGTAGGCCATCAGCAGGCCATCAGTAGGCCATCAGTAGGCCATCAGTAGGCCATCAGTAGGTCATCAGTAGGCCATCAGTAGGTCATCAGTATGCCATCAGAAGGCCATCAGTAGGCCATCAGTAGGCCATCAGAAGGCCATCAGTAGGCCATCAGTAGGTCATCAGTAGGCCATCAGTAGGTCATCAGTAGGCCATCAGAAGGCCATCAGTAGGCTATCAGAAGGCCATCAGTGGGCCATGAGTAGGCCAAGAGTAGGCCATGAGTAGGCCATGAGAAGGCCATGAGTAGGCCATGAGTACGCCATGAGTAGGCCCGCAGATTTTGCTTTTGTTGGAAAATCTTTAGATCAAAATGCTGTTGCAAGGAAGTCCATGGATCAGGAAAACTCAACTGCTTTTACGTCAGCATTGTAGTACCCCGATATAGATTTTAAGGTTTAGAGCAGATAAAGCTCGCAAACATAAGCAACGAAAATAACAAGGAACAGACAATGTTTAACCTAGGTGTAGCCTCGATATGAAAAGAACAGACCATGGCATATTTGTCATATCTTGTGTAATTTATCAAGGAAAGGCTATGAAAAGCTGTAGTGAAGATCTATGAAATCTAGAGACTTTTAGACGTAAAACATACCATGGCGGAGGGAGTCTGAAGCCAGAAGTCAGACGTTCAAGTACCTAAAAAAAGAACTAAGGCTTAAATCGAGATTTCAGTTCAGAAAAGTATGCGCCAACAGTCGCATAAAGAAATTAAATATTCTTCCTTCCTTTATTGTACACATATTCTTTGTTTTTAGACGTTGTTTTTTTAAAGTATACTGCCTAACTTTAAGTTTTCTCCAACTGTTTGATTTACGTCTGTTTAATTGCTAAATCTTTCGCACTGGTCTTTTTCTTATTTGTATTCACAAAAGTTTAAAAAACCTCTTCTGCTTGATTCATCTTTAAAGAAAAAAATAACACAAAAACACAAACAACATTCCCGCTACCATTATAGAAAATGGGCTTAAAGAGTTTAAAAACTTAGGATCTTGGTGACCAAGTAAGGAAATAACGAAAGGACCCTAACTTCCATTATCGGGTTTAGAATAGTGACTTAAAAGTCATCGCAATAGAGTTCTGAAGTGATGACGTCACAAAAATCTTTTTTTAAGAATTTTTGAATTTTGATTCAATAACCTGAAAGATCATCATGAAATACCTCTAAATGTGCAAAATCAGGCAAATGTATTAGGAAATGGCAGAGATATGGCCACATGTTTACTGGTTCTCTCCTCATCAAACCTCTGTATTTTGGTCTCTGTTCATAACTTCATGAACAGAGCCGAAATAACAGTGATTCGTTAGCAAACCTCAAATCTTTCATTAGCCATATCTCATTAACCGATTTTAGACATATCTGGCCAATTTTGCATATTTCATGGTGATCTTTTACGCTATGTGGTTAAAATTCAAAAATTCTAAAAATAAGTTTTTGATGACGTCACACTTTAGAACTCTATGCCCAATTTTTATCATTATCGTTACAAGCATTTCCCTAACGATGGAAAAGTATAAAGTAAATTTTCCTAACGAATATACCTCATTATTGCCCCAGTTCCAATATGGCCTTTCTCCGTAACACATTACCTCCCAAAGCAGGATTCTATAACTCCAAACATCCGAAGCAATAGTGAATTTCTTTAGTTGGACTGCTTCCGGTGCTGTCCATTTGACAGGGATCTTACCACCCTGTAAAAAATAATTAAGTTGAAGTATATCAACAATGATTACATTTACCAGCTTTACCCTGCCTGCCTGCGCCTGCGGCCTGCGCCACCGATTCTAAAATGGGGAGCCACAAAAGGAGGATTTTATACCTATTTACTACCCAATAGGAGGATTTGATATCTATAGTTAGCAAATAAAAATGGGGGGGGGGGGCATTGCCCCCTGCCTCCCCCTGTGGCGTGGGCCCTGAGCTTAGATCTATAGCGATATTCTATTTAGACAAAAAAGGTTTAGAATGAATGGTAGCAGAGTGGTTTGAGTTGCAAAGGTTAGTCACATGATTAGTGGAACCTGACAACAACAGCCATGCATAGCCATAGACCTACAATCCCGGACAAAAATGTTGAGACAAAATGCAATTTTCGTAATTGTTTACTTTACCTTGCCCCTGTAAATTCGAATCCCCCTTTTCCCTCGAAGCAATGTTGGATTTATAGTTCTTTCATTTTTGCTTCACAATCATGCTATCAACATTGAATTGGGGGAGGGGAAAAGTGAGAATATAAGCTTTCCTTGAAAAGTCTCAACCATTTATTGGTTGCTTTGAAGGGAAAAGAGATTGTCAAAATTCGACGATTTTGGCAAGCCTGTAGCTTTACTTTTTTGTCAAATTGGGGGATGTGAACAAAGGCAATTGGAAAACTAGCTTCCGTGAGTAGGATACATTGTGAAAAACTGTTAGGTATTTATTACACGAGAAGTTGTGCTGCTTTGAGCTGGAAAACTTCTGTGAATAATAAATGCTTTTAGCAAGTCTATAATCTACTTTTTTGTGAAAATCCAGACAGAAAAAAAGGGAATAACATTAAAACATAAAAGAAAAAACTACGTTCCATGGCCAAGGTACAAAACCAAAACCTGGCAAATGTTTATATATAGGGAAATTCTGTCAAAAATTCATTATTTTTGGAGGCCTATACGTTTTTTTCTTTTGGAAAAAGAGTCACTGAAACAGGAAAATTTTATTAGGAAAACAAGATTAAATAACAAGGCTGGATACATAGTTAAGTTCTGTTAAGACAATGAGTTTGATTTTTAGCTAAAAAATCACTGGAAAAATTTACAACTTTGGAAAACCTGTAACTGTACTTTTTTCAAAATTGGGTCACTCAAAAAAGAAAAATTTCTTATGGAAAAAACTTTCTATGAACAAAATTATTTTAATTACTATTTAAATACTATTTAATTACTTAAAAACTATTACAGATACAAATTACTTTAAGAGTTTATTTAGATGAGAAAATTCTGATGTTTCGGAAAAAATGAAAATATCAAAACTTTGTTACTTATGGTGGTAGTTCTAAGATATACTGTTTTAGCCTTAAACATATACATAAAAATGTATAAGAACAGGAAAAGAGATGAAATGACGTCAATGCGAACAGTTTAGATGTAGGCCTTTAATGTGAGAGTGGGTTTGTAAAGTGAGGCAACGAAGTTTGAAAAGTTTGTCAAAAAGTCTATGAAATAGGATATCTAGACACCACTACATCAAGCACGCTTTAAGAAACATCTCCAAGACCTATGTATCGGTAAACTCGTGAACTTCAGATCTACCAGGTTTAGAAAACCCTTTTATTATTCCGCTTCTGCCAGACTGAATACTGAATGGGTTTAGATTTAACCGTAAAACACTTATTCACATGTAACGACTATTTTCTCTCGGACATTCAAGAAACTATTCAGCTGGATTTCGTTATCAAATAGTTATTTATCTGCAATTATCATTATATACGGTATAAAAAATGGTTTCGACTAGTAAAAGATATTCACAAGAAAGATTAAATCAGGAATATCTTAATAAACAAAATAGCTTCATGTCAAAAAGTAACGGATATAAAAACTCCTAAATTCATACCTAATGCACTTGGGCATTTATTCATCACTGTTTCAAAACCATCTAAGTTATACCAGAATGCAACTATGCACATATTAAGTGGCAAATGCTGAGGCTTCAAAATTAAAAGGTTCTACGCGAAAATGCTTTTGTAGGTTCTTTATAATAATAAGATGCAACTGATTTCTACAGTTGGTTTTATCGATTCTGGAACAAGGCAACGCCAACATCTTTTACCTCTCATTTCATAAAAGATTTCGCGATTTTAAAATATTTAGATATTAAACCTAGAAGCCTTTTTTGCTAAGATCGATAACTGTTACTAATCGGTGACTAAAAATGAATCTACCTTACGAAAACTCTAATCTTAACTGCAATAAGAAAATTAATTTGAAAAATACACTGTAAATACAGATCGATTCACTTATATGAAATGATAAAAACAGTCACATTTCACTGCATGACGCCGCAAGGTGACCTTGAATAAGGATTTCTACTCAATACAGGTCAGTACCTTCTTGTTAAAGGCATTGAGTCATGGCAAATAGGCCTTTTCTATAGAGTTTCATTTGGTTTCGACGTGATCGCTGCTGTTTCATGTGATATTCGCATCCGTTGTTGACAACTTGCTATTGATGGAAATTGTTTTTTTAATCAGTACGAGGTGAGTTCATGTGACCAGTTTAAGGTCAACCAATAGCATCGCAGTCATAAAAATCGTGACTCAGCGGATTTTGGCACTTTGGGTATACCCAATCGATATTATCATGACTCAATGCCTTTAAATAAAACATTCAACCTATGCACAACAACTTATGGAAGAAAACCACAACAACAGCTTACAAGACAACTTGGAATGTCTTCTATGGTGCAGAATGCTCTACGTACGTTCTCCAAACAATTCAATACTTCTAATATAAAAACGTCACATCAAAAATGTCTTTCGTAGAAATGCATCTATACAATCAAGGGCAATACATAAACAAGTCAAACTAGATAGTCCTCAAAAATTGGTCAAATACTTATTATGACATCATGACAAACTACTGTCACAGACATGAGAGTGATGTAATGAAGTTTTCGATGTAATTTCTAATAAAAGCAACTTGCCTCACAGCGCTTAGATTGCCATGGATTTTGTTCTAATCAACTGGCCTTTCGTCAAATTGATGTTCTTCATAATTTTGTTTCGGTGGCCAACAGCTTCAATTCCTATATCTTTCAGATCTGGATCCGTGAGTTCTAAGATCTGTCGGGGTGTGACTAGGCCCTTTTTAGTGAAGTTCTCGATGTATCGCGACATCCCAATCGAATCAAGCCATTCTTTTAAGGTCTTCATTGACGCGTAATCCAAATTAGTGTCACTACGATAGATAAACAAGGAGAAGTAATAGATAGAGTATGAAGGCAGCCTTCTTTATATTTCTAAGAAAGATTGTATAAAACTCATATCGTATAGATTGAGAACTCATATAAAGATATAGGGCGCTTTAAAGAAGTGGGGAAGGGACACAGGTCAGCGAAAACGGGGCCCATTCGAGAGATACAAATATTGGTGGGTATATGCTCCAGTACCCCCCCCCCCCTTCCGACTCATTCCTCTGCTACTACATTGAACACCTCCTAAGCTCGCACGTAGAAAATTCCAGGAGAGGGAATCCCAGGGGGTTAAATGTGCGACTAAATATGCATGATACACTTATTTAGACGTTCATCGCAACAGCTGTGTGCAGGAGTGTATGAAGTACTGATGAATGAAACTTCGTGGGCAACACAACTTTATTCGAAGCTAACACAGCGTTTCGAGTGTAGTCCGGTATGAATATGGCTGTCACTGGGACTCCCTCTCCTCTTCAGAGACAAAAGTTGTATCGCATTAACCAAACTGATTCCTTCAACTTCATATTCAAGTTTAATAGTTTTCTTGTATATTGAAAGAAAATATATTGCAACATACCGCCTTGTCACAACCGATTCTTCGTGTTTCAGCAACTCCGGACTCCGGATCCACTTATCAATCGTGCCACGAATGTCCTTAAATTTTGGTCTTTTCACGCGATCTTTGTGCCAGCAAGATAACATAAGATCGTGCACAACTTTAGGGCAGCTCTGCAAGAGATTGTCAATCGTAAACAGCTGCTTTTAAGACTTAGATAAGAAACAGCAAAAGCTGCGTTGATAAAAACAGAAACAGTGAACATAAATTTTTTGGTTATGTAAGGTCTGGGGCCAATAGCAAAGCCATGACAAGAGAAAGGAGGGAGGCATTGAAAAGAGGTCTGAGACCAATGTAAGTTTATGTAAGGAGGAAGGGGGTAAGAAGAGAAGGAGGTGAAATCAAGCATGTAGATTATCGTTTAGAAAAAGGAAAGTCTGATAGTCTGGGAAGCAAGAAGAGAGAAAAGCATTTCAAAGGTTACAAACAGTGAGAAGAAAAAGGGGCTTCGTGAAGCAAGCTAGCGTATTGTACTGTGACCAAGCAAACTTGACCGAATCAAACACTACGTAGAATTAGAATACACAGGACTGTAATATATGCAAACGAGACGCATCTAAAGGTAGAGTTACATT